CCCACAGGTGGGAGCTCGCGTGGCCTGCCCTGCTCTGCAGGTGAGGAGACTGAAGCCCAGAGAGGTTGTGTGACGTGTCCAAGGTCATACAGCTAGATAATGGTGGAGTTAAGGTCAACCACGCAGGCCAGGGCCACAGCGATTGCTGCTAGCCTCCCTCTCTGTTGTCCTCAGTCTCATCACGTGGACCCACCAAATGAAGGCAGAGAAGGCCCCCTGAGAAGCTAACGTGATCCTGAGGAGATCCTAAGTCTAGATCCTAACGAGGAGTCAGGCTGGGAAAGGGTAGGAGAGGGGCAGGGCTCAGAGGCCATTTCCTAGGAAGCGGGTGACGCCTAAGCTCCGGGACCCTTGTTCACAAAAAGTTCTTGTGCAGCTGTTGTACACTCCAGGCAGGGAGGGGATCCAGGTTGCTATCAGGAAGCACTTGAATCTAAGCATTTCTGGGAAACGGCCTCAAAAAAATCTCAGAAGAAAGGAATTTGAAGCTTGAAAGCCTCCAGAAATTTGTTATGATTTCTTTTCCCATTCTTAATAAATGTTCACTTTGGTACCCAATTTTATGTCCAAAATTCTATTTTATGTTCTTTTTCTTAAAGACCATCCCCTCAAGTTAAAATGAAAACTACGATGTGATAACACAGCCTACTCACCAGAATGGCTCAAGTGAAAAAGGCTATATGTGTATATCTCTATTTATACATTACACTACACTACACACACACACACACACACACACACGCAGTGTCTGTGAAGATATGGAACAAGAACTTTCCTATGTAACTGGGAGAGCAGTGGAAATTGGTATGACCACTTTGGAAAAGTATTTGCAGTATCTTCTCTCTTTCTTTCTTTCTTTCTTTAAAAAATATTTTTTTTATGCTTATTTATTTTTGAGATAGAGACAGAGCATGAGCAGGGGAGGGGCAGAGAGAGAGCGAGACACAGAATCTGAAGCAGGCTCCAGGCTCTGAGCTGTCAGCACGGAGCCCGACGCGGGGCTCGAACTCACAGATCGTGAGATCATGACCCGAGCCGAAGTCGGACGCTCAACCGACTGAGCCACCCAGGCACCCCCCCCCTTTTTTTAATGTTTATTTGCTTTTGACAGAGAAAGACAGAGAGACAGAGCACAAACCGGGGAGAGGCAGAGAAAGAGGGAGACACAGAATCCGAAGCAGGTTCCAGGCTCTGAGCTGTCAACACAGAGCCCGACGCGGGGTTCGAACTCACGAACTGCGCCATCATGACCTGAACCGAAGTTGGACGCTCAACCGATGGAGCCACCCCGCGCCCCTCTTTGCGGTATCTTCTAAGCTGAACGCTCATTTTTCCCGAATAGGCAGTAATTCCTCTCCCGGACGTTTACCTAATGGAAATGAGCCTGTGTGCCCTCCAAAAGACATGTGCGAGAACGTTTTAATTGTTTTTCATAATATCTCAATGCTGGAAACAACCTCAAAGCCCCACTGAATGCGACAGATACATAAATGGGGGTGTAGTGGCTCTAAGGAGTAGCGTAGGGGTGAGAAGACACGAAGTACGGCCCCATGTCACGGCTCACTTGAATCTCACAGACGTGTGAAGCAAAAGATGCCAGACACGAGATACACACCGAATGATTTCATTCATGTGAAGTTCAACACCAGGCAAAACTCCTCTATCACGTGAGAAGTGCTTAGCATTAAGGGATGGGTAATAACTAGAAGGGACACAGGGGGTGGGTGTCTGCTTTCAGTAATGGTCTGATTCTGGAGTTTGGTGCCATTTTACGTGGGCGTGTTCAGTCTGGGGAAATTCATTGTACTGTACGCTGATCATGGGTGACTTTTTTTAACGTTTATTTTTGAAAGAGAGAGAGAGAGAGAGCTAGCACAAGTGGGGAGGGGCAGAGAGAGAGGGAGACACAGAATCAAAGCAGGCTCCAAGCTCAGAGCTGTCAGCACAGAGCCCGATGCGGGGCTCGAACTCACAAACCGTGGGATCATGACCTGAGCCAAAGTCGGACGCTTAACCGACTGAGCCACCCAGGTGCCCTTATGCATGACTTTTCTATATGCGTGTTATATTTAATGACCCTCCCCTCTCCTACACACATAAATGTAAAAGCTTCAAGCTCTTTAAAACTTGCACCTGCCCTTGAGACCAGAGAAGGATTTATCCTCCAGCAGCCATTGCTCCTGGAGAGGTGTGAGCCATGGGTGGTAATGCCTTCCTTGATGCTTTAGAAAAGCCCCCTCCAGCCTCCCGGGCGGGGGGCGGGGGGGGGGGGGGGGGGGGGGCCCGGGGAGTGGTCCAGTGAAGGGGGAAGGGCAGAGAAGTCTTCCTTGGTGGGGACCTGAAGGGCAAGGCAAGCATAGGGGAAGTGGAGGTGGGTGGAGAGATGGTTTGGGCACAGAAGAGACGGACTCAAACAGGGGCAACCACTGTGAGGGGCTGAGGGGTAACGGGAGGGCTGGTCTCTGATCACTCCCCAAAGAGCCAGGCACCCTGGCAACACCAGGCCAAGCTCCACCCTTCATTCCTTCCCAGGCCTGGTCATCCCCGCTCTGGCAAACTCTGAGGGGCCCACGGCCGGCTCCTGGTGGCCACTCAGACCCTCACGGTGCTGACAGTTTGTCTCTCTTCGGCCATGACTCTGGTTGTTATTTTTTCCTTGTCCCTGTTTTATTGATCCAAGCCTTCATGAGGCAAACTCCTCGGGGCAAACTTCAAGCTGGGCGATGTTATATCCTGCATCTCGAGGCCCCTGCTGGCCCTGGTGAGGTGGGTGGCACTAACCCACGTGATGGGTGAGGAAAGTGGGGCTTGATGAGCTGAGGCGACTTGGGGCCAAGATCACCCACCGAATGAGGAGCAGAGCTAGATTTGACAATAACCTACGTATGCCAAGCACAGTGCATGCATTCACTCATCCAGTCCTCACGATGACACAGTGGAGGAAGCTGCAGTTATTATCAGCCCCTTACAAAGCCTGTTTACGGAAGCCTTGCATCCATGTGCAGAAAAGCGTACCAATCATAACCGCCCGGTGAGTTACCACAAGCACCCACCCGTGGGACCAGCACCTAGGTTAACAAAATAGAATGACGGATACAGCACCAAAGCCACAAGTGATAAAAGAGAAAACGGAGGGACTGGGCTTCATACACATTTAACACTTTAGTGTTTCCAAGGACACCAGCAAGAGGGTGAAAAGACACCACGTAAGTTGGGGGACCTTTTGAAGTCATAGATCTCACGAGGGTCCAGTATCCAGAATGTATAAAGAACCCTCACAACTCAACCTTAAAAAAATCAAATGACCCACTTTACAAATAGGCAAAGGATTTAAATAGGTCTCGGAAGAAGATCTATAAATGGTTAGTAAGCGCATGAAAAGATGCTCAACATCATTAGCCGTTGGGAATTGAAAATCAAAATCACAGAGATGCTAATTCACACCCACAGATGGCTATGACCAACAAGACAGATAATGACAAGTGTGACGACGATGTAGCGCGATCAGAGCCCTCCCAGGCTGCTGCTGGAAGCATAAAATGGTGCAGCTAGCTTTGGAAAACAGTTTGACAGTTCCTCAAAAGGTTAAACACAGTCAACATTTGACTCATCAATTCCCCTCCTACTGGAGTCAGAAAATAAAAACTTACGTCCACGCAAAAGCGGAACACAGATATAGCAGCGTTATTCCGGTGGCTAAACAGTAGAAATAACCTAAATGTCCATCAGCTCACGAATGGACAATGTGGGACATTCATATAATGGAATATTATTCAGCGACCAAGAGGGATATGGTGCTGATACATGATACGGCACGGATAAACCTTGTACCCTTTAGGCTAAGTGAAAGAAGCCAGTCATAAGAGATTATGTACTGTATGATTCCATCTATATAAAATGTCTAGAATAGACAAATAAACAGAAAGTGGTTGCCTAGGCCCAGGGCGTGAGCGGGGAAAGAAGAGGGGTCAAGGGTATAGGGAGTCACTGCTAAATGAGTACTGTCTTTTTTGAGGAGGACGAAAATGTTCTCAAATTAGATTACGGTGATGGCTGCACAACTCTTAAATATGCTTTAAAACCATTGAATTGTAGACTTTAAGTGGATGAACTTTATGGTGTATAAATTATATCTCGATAAAGCTGTTTAAATCTAAAAAGATACTCTGTGCCTTTATTCACGCTGCTCCCATGCCTGGATTGCCCTTACCTTCTCCTAGTTCTCTGAATGTCCAAAAATAGCTGGTTCCCAAGGCCCAACTCAAATGCCATTACAAAGATTGTCTGGACCCGTTCCCATCGGACGTAATTTGCCTTTCCTCTGAACTCTTGTGGCGATTCCCATCATTCACTCAGAGATGATTTATAAGACACATATCAAGTATCTGGCACTTATTATGTTTCAAATGATTGTTTAAGTACCCATCTCATCTCTGCTACTATACTGTAACCTTTTGGAGAGAGGAAATTGTATCTTGTTCCCTTCTGTGAACTCAGAACCCAGCCATGTGACTGGCACACGGAGGCACTCAAGGAAGTTATGTGGAATTCATTCTAAATTGCCTTTTCCTCACATCACCCCTCCCACCAGGAAGCATAAGGACATAAAATGGTTGAAAGTAAAAGGGTGGAATAAAAGATAGCTTGCAAAAGAATTGTTCCATTCCATGACTATATTAATATCAAATAAAAGAGGCTTTGTTGCTAAAAGTATTACCAGAGATGAGAAGGACGCTGTACAATTATAAATGTTTTAAGAAGCTATTTTAATTTTATAAGCACCTAATGACAGTTTCAGAATGTGCAAAACAGAAATTGGCAGAACTATTAGAAATAATCTAATCCAAGTCATAATGGAAGCTTCGTTATACCTCTCTCAGAGTTTGATCCTCAGAACACGGAAGCAAAAAGTCAGTGTGGATATAGAAGATGTATATATCAGATAGGAATAGGTTATGCAGCAGTAACCAAAAAACAACAAAGATTTATTTCTTACTCACACAAAGTGCAGCCATCAGGCAATTCTTCGGGCAGATCTCCTCTGTGCGGCGACCCAGGGATCCAGGCATCTCTCAACCCATGCCTCTGTCATCTCAATGCGTGGTTTCCACAGATGCTTTTAAAAGAAGAAAAAACATGGAGGTAGCACACTGGCTTTTCAATGCCTTAGCCCGGAAGTTAAACATATCACTTCCATTCATAGCGCTTAAGCTCGAGCTGGTCGCATGGCCTCTCTTATCTCTAAAGGTATAGAAAAGCGTAGTCTCCCTGTATCCACCCCAAAGGAGAAGAATCATATAGGAGTGAGCATTTATAGTCTTTACTCAAAGGGTTTAACTAACATGATGAGCAGACTTGACCTAATGGATGTGTATAAATAACTGCATCCAACACCTTATTTTCAAACACATAAGACAATTTACAAGATTTGACTATAACCTGAGCTATAAAGCTAGTCTCACCAAATTTCAAAGACCCAAAACCACATAGAGCATATTATCTAAACAGTTATTCCTTATAACTGTTTAGAAATCAATAACAAGATAATTAGAAATTCTCCACATGCCAGGACATTTAAATATACTTCTAAATAACCCATGGGTTAAAAGAAGAACTGATAAAGGAAGCCAGAAAGTATTTTTAATCAATTGATAATGAAGAAAAGTCATGCCAAAATTTGTGGGTGTGGGTAAATCAGTATGTAGAGGGAAATTTAAAGTCTAACATGCATATGTCAGAGAAGAAAAGAATCTGAAAACTGATAAACATCCCCCCAAGATGTTGGAAAAAGAATATCAAAACAAATCCAATACAAGTAGGAAGAAGTAAATGGTAAAGGCAAAAACAGAAATTGATAAGATAAGAAAGCAAAGATTAAAACAGAGCTAATCCAACAAAGTCAAAGTTGGTTCTTTGAAAAAGACAGTCAAATTGACAAAATCCTGAATGAAACTTGTCTAGAGAAAAACACAAATGGTCCCCCCAAGCTCCCCAATTTTAGGAATAAAAAGTGAGACATCACTACAGATACTGTCAACATTGAAGAAAAAAAGAGGATGTTTTGAGCAACTTTGAGGCAATACGTTTGAAAATTTAAATGAAACAGACAACATCCTAGAAAGACATGCCAATTTTGACTCAAGACAAAATAGAAAAGCTACATAATTCTCTAACAATTAAGGACATTGAACCAGTTGTTAAAATCCTTTTCCATATAGAAAACTTCTGCTCTGGGTGGCTCCATTGACAAGTCCTATCCAACATTCAAAGAAGAAACTATTTTCACTTTTGACAATCTCTTCCAGAGACTAGAAAAAGAGTGAATAATCTCCAGTTCATTTTATTGGGTTAACATAACCTGCATACCCAAACAGGACAAAGTATGGCAAGAAAGAAAAATTTTACTCATATATAGAAATGAAAACTCACCGATAAAGTGTTAGCCACAAAAACTCATCAACTCACAAAAGGATACCACAATTGAAATGGACTAATCCCAGCCATACAAGGTTGATTTAACATTAGAAAATCCAGTAAGGTAATTCAGCACATAAACTGATTCAAGGATGAAAACCTACATGCAGAAAACAACTTGATAAAAATTTAACTTATTCGTGATTTAAAACTAATTTAAAAAGGGTGGGGGCACCTGGGTGGCTCAGCCGGTTGAGCATCTGACTCTTGATTTCAGCTCAGGTCATGATCTCACGGTTCATGGGATCAAGCTCTGTGTTAGGTTCCATGCTGACAGTGTGGAGCCTGCTTGGGATTCTCTCTCTCCCTCTCTCTCTGCCCCTCCCCTGCTTGTGTGCTCTCTCTCTCTCTCTCTCTCTCTCTCTCAAAATAAATAAATAAATAAACATTTTTTTAAACTAATAACAAATGGGAAATTGTGAACAGAAGGGAACTTCCATAATTTGGTAAAGATTATGTCTGCAGCTAACATCGTAAAATATTGCAAGTTTTCCCTTTGGAGATCAGAGGCAAGGCAAGGATGCTCGTTGCACCCGTTTACTCAACAACCACTGGCAGTCTTAGCCAGTGTGGTAAGGCAAGAAAAAGAAATAAAAGATGTAAGACTTGGAGAAGAAACAAAACAGTCATCTTTTCAAAGTAACGTAATTATGTATAGAGAAACTTCCAAATAACCCGCAACTATGTTGTTTAAATTGACCACCAAGTTTGGTATTTTTATTGGATACAAAGAAGAGTATGTATCTATACAACAAGCTACTGAATTATTGAATGAAGCTGCTGGTGGGAAGGTTTGTAGAAGTTCTTCTGAGCACTGAGAGATGAACCTATGGGAACAGGCTACTTACTCCATGTGGGAGGGAGCTCCGCATTTCCAGAAGGGTGGTTCAAGCAGGAACAGGATGGAGTTGGGAAAAGAATTTAGGCTCATTGTGAGAGGTTTGAGAGGACCCTCACCAGACCGGGCTGGGCCTCAGTTCTTTGCACAGTCAGTCCCGGAAGGTGGCTTGTCTTCCTTCTCTCTGACTCCTCGCTCTGTCAGCTTAGTCCCTTTGGTACACTGGGTAAAACGAGCCAGGATTTACGGCTCCGGGAAACGTGTGTAACAGTCCGTAATCTTATTACTGTCCACTCCCCCCTCCTAGGCTCTGCTTTCAGAGAAAACCCGCAACAGTTACTTCTCTTTCTCCTCCCCCTGCTCCTGCCCCACCGGACGTCTCTTCCTAGTTCAAGTTCTCTGGCAGAGGGCACAGGTCTCCTGAGTCTGGCGAGTGTTGGGCTAGGAGCTTCTCCACAAGCACAAACTCAAGGGAGGTCATTCTGTTCAAAGCCTTTAAAGGCTCCCTACTACCTAAAGTCATGGGTTTTTTCCCCGAACACCACAGACCCCATTTGTAAAGTCAAATCCTTCCTTGCCGACCCCACCACACAGAGCTACGCGCCCAGCATTGAGCTAAGGGTTTTGCCTGTTCGACTTCGCGGAGTCCTCCATGGATCCCCATGAAGCAGGGCCTATTATTAGCGCCCCAGGTCACGCGGTAAGTGGGGACTTGGGACCGGAACATTCTCAGTTCAGACCACCCATTCTGAAACACCGTGCTACCTGGTTGGTTTGCTTTGGTTTCTGTAACTGGTTTTCAAATGAAATTTTGCATGGTCCTTCCATGCCACAACCTGGGAGAGGATTGTTTTTGCTGGAGTCAGGGTGGGGCCCTGCCTCTTCGGCTCCCCCACCTCGGCCCCTGAAGCAGCTCCCCTAACCACTAAGGCGACAAATCCCTCTTCCTCAGGACGGGGCCACCAAGGAGGCAGAGTGGATATACACACACTCTGGAGACAGACCGGCAGGTGCTTTCCAGCTACCTCGGACCTTGGTTTCCTCACCTGCAGGGGAGGGGCTCGTAGGCATTCCCACTTGGGCACGGTTCACGGTAGGGTGAAACAAGATGGTGAATACAAGGGCCCATCACCCAGGAGGGGCTCCATACACATTGTGTGTGGTTACTGGCCGTCCCTGGGGCTTGGGGTAGCCTCCTCGGCACCTCTCTCTGGACCCAACACAGCAGACCCCGGGGCCACGGGCTCTGGAAGATGCCGCAATGCAGGAGCTGAGGCAGCACTGACCCCTATTGGGGATGTGCAGCTGGCGCATCACGGGCAGATGTAGGGAAGCCAGGCGGTGAATGAATCCGTTTCCGGGCTGCCCCGGCCCCTCCGGGGCCCCTGCTCTGACAGGCACCACAGGAGAGCTGAGGCCCAGCCGGCAGCAGACCCAAATGTTGGCTGGGCCACTAGATAACTCCGTGATGAACCGTCCCTCAAGCTGGAGACATTGACCTTGCTCCCAGCCTGGAGGCCCCGGGCTCTGCGGTTAACCCCTCCCTCCCCAGCTCCGGGGACGGGGAGCGTGTTGCCCGTGTCGGGGAGGGCTGTGTCCATTATCCGTGGCTGCCTGACAAATCACCCTGAAATCCGGCACCCGGAAATAACAAATGATGATTAGCTCTCAGTTTCTGTGGGTCAGGAATCTGCCAGTGGCTTCACTGGCTGGTTCTAACTCAAGGTTTTCCATGAGGCGGCAATCAAGGCGTCGGCCTTGGTGGGGATCAGCTCAAGGCTTGACTGGGGGGGGCTGAGCGGATTCCAGAGTCACTTACCCAGCTGTCGGCAGGCCTCCAAAGACCCACTTCCAAGTGCACCCACTTGGGCGTCTCGCGAAGGCCGCCTCACACCCAGGCAGCTGGGTTCCCCAGCGGGAGGAATGGAGAGAGCACCGGACAGGAGTCACAGTCCTTCTGTAACCCAACCTTTTCCCCCATCGCTGCCGACATATTCTTTCTGCTGCAAGTCATTAAGTGGGCCCCGCAGCCAAAAGGGAAAAACACAAGGCTGTGAGAGCCCAGGAGGGGATCGCTGGGAGCCGTGTCAGAGGCCGCCTACGTCAGGGGCCACTGCTGGGACAGACGTGGAGCTGAGGCCGGCTCACCTTTGGGAGCACCTGCTCCGATGGCAAGGAGGGGGCCCCAACTCCTCCCTCCATTTTTCACCAAGTCCTGGGGACTCGAAGTCCCAAAGAGCTCTCAAGTCTGACCTCTCGCTCTCTCTCGGCTGTCATGGCTCCAGCCAGGCCCCCCGTCGTGTCCCACCAGGATGTTGTCACTCCGTCACCACCTCCTCACTGGCTCCCCCACGTCTATTCTGCTCCCCTGAATCCCCACTCGTCCCTTCCACCATCCCCTTATCTCTTCCCAGCAGTACTCAGAGAAGCCTTTTCAAAACACAGGTGTGACCCTGTCTCTTCTTGCTTCTCACATGCTCAGAGTGAAGACCCAAGTCTTCCCCGAGGGTGACAAGACTCTGCGGGGTCTGGCTCACCCCAAATCTCAACAGCCTCTGTTCACAGCAGCACTGGCTCCTATCTGCCTGGAATATGCCTCTGCCCTCTGGCCACTGGCTTTGTACCTTCTGTTCCTCTTGCAGGAATGTTTTCTTGTCGCTTCCCCTAGTGAGCGCCTCATCACCCTGTGGACCCCGGCTCGAGTTCCTTCCCTGAAGAAGTTGTCCCCATCCCGCCCTGACGACGTCGGAGTCCCCCCACTGAAAACTTGTTCTCTTCTCACTGCTCCCTGCCAGGCACGCCGTTCCTTTACCTGGCTGCTGGCTGCCTCCTCCAGGATGGTGCGAGCCATGACGGCAGGTTTCGCTAGAAGTATCTGTTGAGGCCTGGCTGGGTGGCTCAGGTGGTTAAACATCCGACTCTTGATTTCGGCTCAGGTCACGATCTCGTGGTTTGTGGGTTCAAGCCCCAAATCGGGCTCTGTGCCGACAGTGAGGATCCTGCTTGGGATTCTCTCTCTGCCTCTCTCTGCCCCTCCCTCCCCCCGCCAAATAAATAAATAAACTTAAAAAAATTATCTGTTGAACTAAAAAAAAAAAATTAAAGCCTTTGTGCAGATAACAAAACTATAACTCTGCGACATAATTCGTTGGAATCCTAGATCTCCAGGGCTCAAAGGGGGCTCAGAAACCAGCCAGCCAACCTCCTTCCTCATTCTGAAGGAGGAAACTGAGGTCCAGAGACAGGGAAGGGCTTCTTGGGTTCAGGATGAGTGAGAGTAGAGAGCTGAGAAGCTAGGCCACTGGTGTGACCGTCCACCTGCCATTCTCCGTCTGTCATAAAAGCCCCACCTGCCTTCTATCACCATCTAAACTTCCCCACTGGTACTTTATGAATGTCAGCAGATCACTTCCATCAGCCCCAAGCCCTTGGCACAAAGACTCTGGAAGGCGCTGGGAAGGCCTCTTCTCTGGTAACTTCTTTTCTTAGCTTTGGAACTCCTTAGAGATGCACAGCCAGTCCTGAGGACAGCCATCTCACCCCAAATGAACCACATGTCCTGCTTTTAAAGACTCTCCCTCTGGGTTCCTCCCGGGAAAACCGAGACCATTTGAACCATCCGGGACCTGAGATGTTCTGGGCCAATTCCAGAAGGGGAAACGGAGGCCAGAGTAGACCCGAGACTTTCCCAAGGTCACACAGGGAAGCAGTGGCAGGGCTGGGACCAGACCTCGGGCCTCCTCACTCTTCGGCCCATGCTCCCGTCTCCACAGCGAGCTACAAGTAGCCAGACAGGATTAACTTGAAGTCACCTGCAGGCTCTGAACTCAGGCCTACACATGCTTCTTGGAACAAGGGTTCCTTTTCAGACCGTGGTTGGCTTTGCAGAGTCCTGTCACAGGTCCTCAGCAGAGAAGAACTCTCTGCTTGCCAAAGTGGCCAACTGGCATTCTAAAACCAACAGACACTCTAAAACAAGATGTTATTGCAAACGCGCTGGTATGGCAGAAACCAAACGCACCGCTACCGAAAGAGATTTCCGACCGGTATTCAAATTAGCTGCCACCCTTCAAAAAAATGGGGAGATTTTTATGTGCAAATCCAGGGTTCCACCTTTTCTTAGAAAAATCAGACAATCTGGCCGTACTGGCTCTGCCTCCCGGCATGTTGACACTTAGCTGAACGGCGCATTTGCCGAGTGCCTGCCCACAGCTGGCCAAATTGCTTCAGTTCCACTGCATCCCCGGCCTGGAAAGCATTTGAGTTTACGGCCTTTATGCCACTGGGTTTGAGAACCCCCTCTCCACATATTGCCCACGTTAAGTGGTCACATAGGCACCGTTTGTTGCCTTCAGGGACAGACGGTGCACTACCAGTCCGTTCCATGGCTGGTCAAAGAGCTCTGGGGAGGAGGGAGAGCTTGATTTGAACCATGGCTTATCTGAATCCGTGTATAACAGGCCATGATATAATTTAATACCACAGCCTAATAAACGTGTGCGTGCCTCATAACCAGGATTCTCCATGCTTGTTTTGGCTGGGGCAGACAAGAAAGCCACTCCTAGGAATAACTTCACAGACTTCCGGCCATTGAAAGGAAGCCCAGATGCCATCGGATTATGGGCAAACTAGGGGCCGGGTCTGGATGTCCCTTTTGAAGTTTCAAGGGCAGCCACAGGCAATATCAAAAGAGGGTTTGGAGGTCCACCTTTGGGCTCCTGAGCAATGGCAGCTCTTAGACAAACTGACTTTCTATGACCTTGCCAAGAGCTGTCACCACCACCCATGTTTCACAATCCTTGGGAAGGTGGGGGGGGGGGGCTGGTTCTTACAGCAATGGCAGGCTGCTGAGCACTTCATTAGGAAGAGGCCCAGGGAATCTGGGCACACGCTCTTTATAGAGTTCTTGGCAAGCTTCACGTTTTGGAACTTTACAATAGCAATGTCTTTTTGTTCCTACCACACTTATCAGTGTGTTAGATCTCAAAACCAACAGAAATTCTAGAGTCCAGGACCATGAGATCTGGGAGGGGCCGTGTATGTTTCACATCGTCCAATTCTCTACCCTCATTGAGAATCTCCCTACAGAGCCCCAGACAAGATGGGTCAGCCAACCTTGGTGGGGCAACCAGTCTTCCTGAGGATGGGTCAGAAGTCGTCTCCACTGAAACTTCCGCCTCTTTTCCTCAGTTTTATCCTCAAAGTAAGAGCCATTTTTATGCCTATATTCATCTACGGCCTCCAAGTCCCACCATACTTGCCCTCTCCTTGACCCATTCCTTCCTGGGAGGCCTTGATGTTGAGGCCTGTCCACCCTCCTACTATTGGCCAAAGTCCCCCCCGCCCCCGCCTTAGCATCTTTTCACAACAGCTGTGACTTTAAGAGGGCACAGTTCCTGTTCCAGGACCTCCAGAGAAGAAAGGCTGGGTCCAGCTGTGCCACATCCCTGGCTCACATGCCCAGAGTTTGGACAGACTGTTTCATATCAGCAAACGGGTTTTATTTATTTAACACGCGTGTAGCTCAGTTTACTCTAGCAATATTGATTCATTAAATCCCCATAAATTTCTGAGACCGAGTCTGTGACCATCCATAGTACACAGATGATGAAATCAAGATGCAGAGAAGTGAAATCACTTGGCCAAAGTGCCAGTTAAGTGGGGTTACTGGGCCTCGAACTCAGACCACTGGGGTCTGGAGCTGGTCCTCACAGCCATCCCGTGCTGCCTTCCACGCAGTTGTTCGTGT